ATCTCTCATCCGGACGGATATTAGGTCTCCATCGACGCCCTTCTTGACTCTTCGGACCTCTGTTTAATCTAAAAAACTCACGCACGTTTCGCGGTTTGCAGAATGTAACGCATTGCAGTTACATTCTGCAGGCTGCCGCCGTGTTTGACACTATAAGTCGGCTGATTGGGACAGGATGCGGCCTTTTTTGCATCCTACCCGTAGAAACGGGTTTTCTTCTCGCTGGACGATCCCATCGTTGTTGGTGGTTCTGTCGCTGATGTGGTATGGAATTTTTTCGAAAACCGCCTACGAAAATGAACAAACGCAATACCAAGAGAATTGCAGCTGTGTTGAAGGTCCGTAAGTCGTTTTGGTCCAGAAAAATTGGCGCTGGTAAACAATTCCACAGATAAGTTGAACGAGGAAGAAAACTCCTCAAAAAACGCATTGTGGTTGACCGCCAAGCATCCCTATGATGTGGTTGGTTTATTTTTATAAAATATGGGTGAGAAACGAGCACCTGATGGTAAGTGGATGCTGTGGCGTTTAGACATCTATATTTATCCTCCATAGAATCCAAACTCAGAGGCGTTGTCACCCCTGAGGACTAAGATGGAATGCCTCGTTTCTCTCTCGTGTTTTCTCGTTAAAAGGGTCTCCGGATCTCTGCGCTCACCATGAGAAACACAGCAGTATAAAACTGCTATTTTACGCTGATATACTGTGAGAGCGTGGTCCTTCCCGGGTCAAGCCAACATATTCGTGCTACGAATATAATATAGCTGCTACGTGGCTCTACCACGTAGTGAAATATTGGTATCGTAAATATTGACGCGATGAGCGTTTATGTAATTTGGCGGCCGGAATTAATACGCACAATTCCTCAAAGCACTCCCAGTGAAAGATGCGTTGGAAAATGCAATGGAATGAAATATTCCTGCGCAGCGCCAGTGAATCGAGCTGATCAGAAAGGACTCGGTCGTCGATGATTCGAACCGCTCTGCACTGGATGGGGTCATGTGGAACGAGGTGGCTCTGGAGTGCCCAGGACCAGAGATAAGAACGGTATTTCATATGAGGCTGTACTTGGTTTGGTCACTCCAGTAAAATAGCACCACGCTATAAGCAGGAGTGCTACCAAGCCTAGGATGACGCATTAACGTCTCGGGAGGTAAACACCAGCTCTCTTAAAAAGAAGTATAGTTCCGCCTACATGTTCTTCGAAAGAGTCATTGCCAAGGCAAGGTCAGATCACATCGGCAGAATTGGCAAGAAACTAATTCGTTTTCCTTCGGCAACTCGTGTATACTGGTCTCTGGCCAAAGCTGTCCAAGAGAACTTCTGTCAACCGTCTCTTCCATTTCTGCTCAGGGAGGACGACTCACTGGCCCATGCCGCAAATAATAAAGCCGATCTCTTAGATTCTTTCTTTGCGTCCAACTCTACTCTCGATGACGGGGGATAACACCGCCAACCCCGCCCACGGTGTGAGCGATAGGATGGACGCTAGAAATATGATGTTCACTACATAGTATATTGTAAATAATTAAAAGATCACAAAAACATACATCAAATTTATATAAAAAACATTAATTTATTTAAACATTGAAACAAGAGAACATTGAAGAACAATTTTAAATTATAAATATGTTAATATATAACTATTAGATTCATTGTCTTTGAGTTATTATAATCGTTGCCCTTTACAAAATAAATAAAACGAAAATTTATAATAACGGTGAACTATATGATACCTTTTTTCAAAATTATATACCTTCACATACAATTTAATATATAAATATAACCTTATATTAACTAAAAACATAAAAAATAATGATATACTATGTTAAATTTAAGTACGTTAAAATGTAATCTACTATAATATTATTTGATTCCTTTTTGGATTTCACAGTAATAAAAAATATAAAACAATAACTGATCAAAAATGACTGTTCTTGTGCCTTATCAAAAACATGCTACGTAAGTGCTTAAAACGGAACTTAATTACATAATCGCATTATGATTATTTTTTCTTAGATATTGAAAATATATTGAAAAATCAGTTGAATCGTGAAGTATCTTATGGATAAATCCAATTTAATCTTACATTAAATACAGAATATTTAATTTATAGCTCAGAACCGTGCAATTACAGGTCTATCGCCTTGTTCAACATCCTTCTTCAAAAAATGAAATCCATTATGAAGTGCCAGCTCATGAAGTACCTTAAGTATCATCAGCTGATTAGTGATCACCGGTATGATTTTCATCGGGTTGATCAGCTGGTGATCTTCTAGTCTACCTGAATCATATATGGAAGGAGGCAGTAGAGTCCAAGAAGGAGGCTTTGGCCGTTAGTTTGGACATTTCAAAGGTCTTCGATCGGGTTCGGCACAAAACGCTTCTTTCAAAGCTCCTTTCCTATGGGCTTCCCGAGAAATTGTGCAATTAGGTCACAAGCTTTCTTATAGATCGGAGCATCAAGGTCTTTGTAGATGGTGCATGCTCCGATTACAAGCCTATTAATGCTGGCATTTCACAAAGCTGCGTGCTATCACCAACGCTGCTTTTTCTGCATATCAATGATATGTTGCAAACCGGTAACATTCGTTTCTATGCGGATGATAACACTGGTTATGCTCTATACACCTGTAGTGCCAATATTTCTCGGGAAAACGTCGCCAAGTACCCGGAGGCTTCTTTTGATACTTCCTTTCTATAGGCTTCCCGAGAAATTATGAAATGGAATTACCAGTTTCCGTGCTGATTGGAGCATCAAGGTCGTCGCAGACGGTGCATGCTCCAATTACAAAACTATTTACGCTGCTATTCTACAAAGCTGCGTGTTATGAACAATGCTGTTTCTTCTTCATATCAACGATATGAAAAAGAAACAAATGTTGCAAACCGTAACATACATTTATTACTATGCAGACGACAACACTGGTGATGCTTTATACACTGACCGTACCAATATTTCTCGGGAAAACGGCACCGAGTACCGAAACAAACTTATGTCTGAAGTCGAAACTTTGTTGTGTAAAGTCTCAACTTGGGGGCAACTAAATCTAGCCCTGTTCAATCCGCAAAATACAAAAGTTTTCCCTATGACTGCTAAAAAGTACCCACTTTTACTTCCTCAGTTTCAGAGCACTGCCTTTGCGAAATCATCTAGCATCGAAATCCTCGGCGCCGACATATCGAATAAAGTGCAGTTTCGTAGTCACTTTGAAGGGAATGCCAAAGTTGCCTCTAAAAATCTTGGTGTGTTCGGCAGAGCGGGACAGTATTTCATGCCGGCACACCGCTTGCAACTTCAAAAGGTGCAGGTTCTGCCTTACATGGAATGTTTTTCCCATCTCTAAGCCAGGACATCCCCGTGCTAGCTACTTCCATTTGACTGCATCCAGCGTAGTGTAGCCCGAATCGTCAAAGACCAAGTCCTTTTTGATAAGCTCGATTTATTAGTGCTGCGAAAGAATGTTGCATCTTTTTGCATTTTCTATTGCATCTACCATGGGAGTGTTCTAGGGAATTGTTTGGATTGATTTCAGCCGCCAAAGTTCACGAACGCACATCGCAATTCACGATACTATCAACACCATTCAGAAGCTTGGCGGTCCGCAGCTGTGCTACTATGAGTTTTCTTCCTCTTACAATCACACTGTGCAATTGTTTACAACCGGTGATTTTTTAGGAGCGATACGACTTTGGAACATTCAATAAATGAGCTGACTCTTTTTTAAGAGGTCGGCAACGCACCTGCAATGCCCCTGGTATTTCAGATGTTCATGGACGGCAGTAGCCACTTATCATCAGGTGAGCCGCATGCTCGTTTGCCTTTTCTACAATAAAAAACGAATCAGAAGCTTTGTCAGTCTTGAGGACTAAGTAGCCTTATCACATTTACAATAGGAAACATAAGTATTAAAGCGGCACTAAGATATGCTATAATATATAGAGCACCGTCCTGAGCCACCTGCAACCATAGACTTACTGCATATCTTACCAGGTTGTGTTAGCGCCACTATATTTAGTGACGAATTATTTAATTAAAAAAATTTAATTAAATATTATTTACACTCCCAAAAATACATTAATGTTGTAAATGTGTTAAAGAAACTAAAATCGAAGGGTTTTATAATCTTATTTTACAGCAGCCTCATGATAGAATGAGATATCCTTTGCATATTTATACACATGTTATTAGAATTATTTTTATATCTCGCGGCAAAAGGCACTTCATTTAACACAAGTCTATCAGGGTTTATACCGTTTAAGTAAATATGTTTTGGCTTCTTTAAAAAGAAAAATGGTGCCGCTTTACGAAATTAGCGAAGATAAGGCATGTGGAGAATATTTTAATCTATAAAGTGTGGTCCACACGATACATCTTTTGATAGAATAAGGGTGACAAACAGTCACACAGTCTAACTGATGATAATTGGTTGCAAATTATAGATGTCTAACCTCGATTAAGAAAGAAAACTATAAACTATATGCATTTTTTGCTATTATCCCAACTTATGTGTCAGTATCTATTAACTGATTCTAAGGCGTGATTTAGACGATACAATTTTCTTGTACATTCAAGTGCAATTATTGAATGCAATAAATTAAGTGCGTTAATTGCCCTTCAAGAATTGTACGCAACTGTTTACACGTGGATACAAGTAAAAAAATTGAACGCAATTATTGAATGCAAGTCTTGACAAAAAATAGTTGCAAATGTCTTCTGTTTAGACCAGTACAATAATGTTTAGGAGATTATTGCTTTCAAGTTTTGACTTGTCTAAATAGAGAGTTGTATGTGCGTGTACCATTTATTGGCGAGTTGCTTCAAGTATTGCACGTATTTGCGTTGTCAAATTTTTCATTTTTTAACAATTATTCATAGTGTGATGTGACTAGATGCTTGTATACTATTTTTAATTTATATAGTACTTATGTAACATATTCAAAATAATATGCATATAATATACATTTATAGCAGTTTTCAGATTTCTCGTTTAACTTACCTGTTCTTTTTTCAGGGTCCCGAAAAAGCACATCGTCGAGGTGCGCAGGAAGTGACCGTCCTTTGCTGTTCACAGCCACGGCAGCCAGTCTGAACCGCACATCCCACTCCAACCCCCGCACAGTCCACGACGGCTCGTCTGATGTGATATTTACCCTGAAAATTCTTTTAACTATAATTTCCCACACAAGACATATGTCAGTGTTTAGTGTTTAGTGGTGGAGGTGTCAGGGTATCCACAACACAACATCTTGCCAAAGGTGTCGTGAGAAGAGACAGAGGGAATATGAAACAAGAATTGGGCAGCAGCTAACACTCAAAATCATAAAAAAACTGACATATGTCATAGTCCATCCACTTGTCAAGCGTGGCAACTTTGGAAAAATCCCTCCATGAGGATGAATCAATACATGAGCGAGGCCTATGTTCAGCAGTTTATAAAATGTACCGGATGAATACAGACTTTTTAAATTTAAACTACTGCCATTTGTGTGAAAATAAAATTACTCTTTATAACCAAATAAAATTCCACTACTAGATATGGATTTGTCTGGTTGTAAGAAAGATTTTCTTTATTCGTCACGCTTGGTACGTGGCATGGCAATCGTAGTGCAGTTTCGCAACAATTTCGACTTTATGACACCGGGTTTTTTACATTTGGCGTAAACTGATGGTAAAGCCACGCTTCAGCTATATTATGGTTGTAGCATGAATGAGCTGAATCGACCGGGGAAGGACCACGTTCTCTTAGAATACCGCCGTAAAATAGCAGTTTAATGCTGCTGTGTTTCGTAGGGTGAGTGTAGAGAACCGGAGACCCGTTTTACTAGAGTCGAGGCATTCCATCATAGTTCTCAAGGGTGACAACGCATCTGTATTCTGATTCTTAATCCTTGTTAGATGTGGATGTCTATGAGCCACAGCAGCCACTTACTATCAGGTGGACTGCGTGCTAGTTTGTCACCATTATCCTACAAAAAAATTTAAAAAATGAAATCTATCGGAAACCAAGAGATTTTTCTACTAAAATAAAAGAAAATTTGTGTACCGGAATATTTTTAAAGGCCGTCAATATTTGCAAAAATAATAATATTTTTTAACCCGCAAACTCTCTTAGTCACTCTTTTATTAAATATGTTTCGTCTTACTGCAAAATGTAGTAATTAGTCTTAAGGATAAACTAAAACTTTTTAATAAAGACGTTCCCCTAAAATTAAGCAAACTAAAATGTAATTTAAATGTCTGAAATTATAATTAAATACTGAAATTAAGCTTCGAGAAGATTTGTTCTACGGCTAAGGAACTCCCTTTATGAGAAAGAAGGTTATGTATTAACAATGGTTAAAGAAGAGCTTTAACCATTGTTAGACCTGAGACTGTAAAAAACACGTTTTGTAATAAGACGGATTGTTTTTAAATATCACGCTTAACAACGATCGTAATTCACCAACATTTAAAATAACGAAAGAAGTTTCATATAAACCATTCAAAGTACATAATAACACTCAAGAAAAGTGGTTACCACCTTGAACTACGTATTTTTGTAGAGCTTACTATTGTAGTAACTGTCAGCTTGTATTGGAACATAGTATACAACTTTGGTAGTCGTATTACATGTTCTGTTTTATATAAAATTTGATAGCGCGATGAGGAACGCAGTGACGTATGCGTGGATCGGAGCTCCATCTAATATAATAATTATTTAATTGAAATCTGTCAATTATTTCGCCTGTCTTCAAAGTTCTCCTAATATTAGTCCATCGTAGCACATAAAAGTTCATTTCTGATGATAGGCGTAGATTAATAGGTAACTTATGATCAGAATTATGGATTTTGCCACATTACCACCCTTGACAGGCAGATAGGCAACCACAGTTTATTTTTATTTTGACTCGTTATCAGGACGAAGTTGCTGGTCATCTCCTATTTCTCTTTCTTTCTGTCGCCTCATGTAACACTCATAGAACGATATGTGATAGAGGATATTGTTACACCACCACTATATAATCACAAAGGTCAAGCTTCTTATGCAATAGTAATAGTAGGCCAACCCAATATTTAATCGCCTTTTTTGTGATTATCGTTTCTTTAAAGTGAAAATATTTATTTATATGCAGTAAAAATTTATTTAAAATGCTATAAATATAAACATAAAATATACATAACACACATATAAATACACTTATGAATATTGAATAAGATATAATAAATGTTATATGATCAAAGAAAAATTAATATACTATGATTAAATATTACATCGAATGCGTGTGCCCTAAGTTATAACGTTGTAATGACAAACATTTTTTTCAATAAAAGAGAGTCATTAATAAAATTACATCCAGGAATCCGCTTACGCTTCAAATTTGAACGAGGCTTGGGTTGAAGGACAGAATAAAACTTTTACCATTTTTATTCTCTTCGCAAGAATGAAGGTCGAAATTCCTGAACACATCTAAATTCTCGTTAGAGGCTATTGTCCGTTGATGTACCGACGTCATTGTCGTATTCATCTCGAGGGGCTTCGTCCCTCACAGGGTCCGCGTTATAACGCTTAATATTAGATGGAACCCTTTTTTTCATCCCAACACCTCCGACGAGAGCAGTAACTCACGTTTATTTCGTAACTTTCCTTCGCACGGGCCAATTTGTGCGAACTGCGATTCAGCAAGAATTATTTTTAAATTAAGCCGCTCTGTCGAGATTAGTAATCTTCTTTATGTTTGGATTTTGTCTGAAGCAAAATAACGTTGTATAAAACGATGTTATTCTTATTTTTGATCAACTTAAGTTAAAAAAATTCTTTACAAGTTAAACAAAAAGAAAAATAGTTCACGGTTTCTTTATTTATTAATTTTGTTCACCAGCAAATGTTACACTAATGTAATTTTTTTTTGGTTGTTTGATACTTATGTTAAATTCTTAGAAAATACCTAATATAAACTTAGTGCACATTTAATAATATGTAAACACCGCATGTTTTATACAGATATAAACGAAAATTAATTTATGTAAATAAAATATTATTAGTCAGAACTTTTAAAAACGTTTGATTTATAATACATTCCATACTGATTAATTTAATCCACTAAAATCGTATAGGTATGTGACTTGATTAATAGATTTGAAGTTTGATAATGTTATATGAATTCTGTATGTATGCGCGGAGTAATCTATATTCGCGGAATTTTCGAATGCAACGAAAATTTTAGTTATTTTAACAAATGACAGATAATACAAAATGAGTAGGAATTGGTAAGAAAGAGGCAGTCCTTGATAAAGAAGGTGTACGATGAAACGTACTTAGTTCATAATCACTTATATTATCTATTTAACCTAGCAGTCTTAATAACACAGCTCTTTTACGCGCCAGTACTCAGCAAACAGGGCACTTCAAGCATCCATATCAAACAGTCGCTTCTTTATCGTACTAATATTATATCAAATATATGTCATATGAAAGCAAATTTTATATAATATATATCATCTATCATCAAGTGTGGGAATTACACCGCACAGAAGGTGAACAATAACTTATTTGCGATGCTGTTGTGTGGCAAATTATTGTAAGATTCCAATTTACAGCGGAAGCGCATCAAAGTATATATATATATATATATATATATATATATATATATATATATATATATATATATATATATATATATATATATAAACACACTCACGCCTGTCACCCAGAGGGGTAGGCAGAGACTACAGACTTCCATTTGGCACGATCCTGACACACCTCTCTTGCCTCCTTCACATCCATACACCTACGCATACATGCTCGTCGGATAAGGGTACTCCTAATTTGGCCCGTTTTCAATAAATCGCCAATTTGATCGATAAATTTTCGCCTAGGACGTCCCTTTCCGACTCTGCCATTCACTTCTGCACCATACATTTTCTTTGTCACTCTTTCCTCATTCATTCTTTCCACATGACCAAACCACCGAAGCATTCCTTTCTTAATCCTGGTCACAACATCATCTTGCAAACCACACTCTTCTCTTATTACACAATTTCTTACCCTGTCATTCAGATTCAGCCCTAACATACACCTTAACGACCGCATTTCTACTGCGTTTATTCTACTCTCGTGCTTGTTCTGCCACACCCAACTTTCACTACCATACGTTAAAGTAGGGACCAACACAGCATTGTAAATTTCCATACGTGCCTTTTTCGACACATTTTGACTCTTCACAATAGAATGCAAGGCCCCATTTACTCTATTTCCCGCATTCACTCGTCGTTCTATATCCTTATCATATCTCCCATCCCTGCTAAATACGCAGCCCAAATATACAAACTCATCTACTTGCTCGATCAACTCCCCTTCTATTCTTATTTCACAAATCGTTTTACTTTCTTCTCTTTCAAAAACCATAACCTTCGTCTTACTTGCGTTCACTTTCATACCCCTTTTCTTTTAATGATCCGTTCATTAATGTAATCATCATTTGTGAACTCGGCCGCCGACGACGCAAGAATAACTTGATCATCGGCGTACAAAAGGCATTTGACGGTTAACTCACCCATTCTTAATCCGCATTCTTCAACTTTCAAATTTTGCAAACAACTGTCCATAAATAGGTTGAACAGGCACGGGGAAGTCACACAGCCCTGTATGACACCCTTATGGAAGTCAAACCAGTCCGAGTAGACCCCGTTGATCCTAACACAAGCACTAGAGTCCCTATAAAGAGACTCCAATGCCTGTATCAAGCCAGCGCTCAACCCAAATGAGTTCAGTGTTTACCATAGCAAATCCCTATCCACTCTGTCATAGGCCTTTTCCAAGTCCATGAACGCACAAAAAACCTTTTGGTTTTTGGCCAGAAACTTCTCCGCGATCATGCGCATGGAAAAGACTTGATCTGTACATCCCATTCCCTTTCTAAATCGCGCTTGCACATCCCAAATTTTTCCATCAGTTTCTTTCATGACCCTTTCAATTAGTACCTTAGCATACAGTTTTCCCACAATGCTAAGAAGGCTGATTCCACGGTAGTTTTTACAGTCCTGCTGCGACCCTCTTCCCTTATATACTGGGACTATCACGGCTTTGCACCAGTCTACCGGTACCCGCTTCTGTTCCCAGCATAAATTAAACAAGGTGTGCAGCAGGCCTGCCACCACTTCCTCTCCAGCCCTTAGCATCAAAGTTTGAGTTCTTAATGTGCCTAGAGCGGTTTCCATAACGAAGCGTTGTATTATAAACCCTGATTTGAATAACTAATAACATATGTGCGATCAAAAAAAAGCAACAAACGGTTCTAAAGTCTTTAGTTAACGGTTTTAAAGTTCAAAAGGTTCTAAAATAAAAGCAACAATCAAACGATATGCAGCGACGTCTTACACATTGATATATCTCCTACTTTAATTACACGATTTTATCTGTTTTATTGTTTTATTATCTGACTGCTAAATAAAGAGGATATAATGGTTTATATGAGTATGTATATATGCACACATCTATCTATTTCTTTAGCAGGCTTTCTGGTCTAAATGGCTTGATAAGTTTTAAGGGACATCGTTGAAATCGTCTTAATTGTGAGAGTAACATGGCTATATAATATATATTGTATGCAAATGCATATACAAATTCTTATCAGAGATATTAAAAAAAATGTTTTGTTTTATCTGTTACTGTGGCGTAAATTTATTATCAAAATCCTTCCAAAATTTACGAAGATATTGCCTAACATACGTATAAAAGAAAAATGCAGTCATTTTCTAAAGTTCCTTTTTTAGGGTCGGCTTTAAAGTAAACTTACTGCCTGAATACGTCCCTTACAGTTAGTTTTTACACGTCCCATTAATTTACAGTCTATATACGTCCTATTAAGGTGATACATCGAAAATTTGTGGTTTTTCTATTTCACGTTTTTCTTTAAGTTGTATATATTGCGGATAAAATTATCAGTATATATTTTTTGACCATATTATGATCCTGAATTGCATGAAAGGAAAACACGATAACATGTTATTTCCTCAATAGTAAAAAATGTAAGTTAGCCTCTAATTAGTTAAATTTCTTTCAAGGAGCCTTAATCATACATTTGTTGTTCACATTGTCAATAAGTAATTAAAATAATTAAATTATTATGCGTTTTAATTACGAGGTCATATTACCGTTACCTCGTTATAACAATAACGGTTGTAACTGTGACAGTGACTTTAGTTATATATAAGTTGGTGATTTTGTGTAAATCTTTAGCTTTAACTGTTAAAAGTACCAAGAACAAGTACTAAAGTGGAAAGCAGCCACTTCAACCGGAGTGCCAGGACCACTTGCACCCCGCCTCCATCAATCACACCCGTGCAGACACACACTTCAAGCGAACCAATCAAAGCAATTCCAACTCCTCAGTTACAGCATTGGATGACAACCATTGAACAGTACCTTAATAAGCTGTGCTCCATCTCTATGGATGGAAAACTTAAGTCCAACCAAAACATGTGCATCAGCTCACTTTATCGAATGATGTACCGTGGCTTCTGGTACCACCAGTACCAATAGCCACTGTACATCACAGTTGGTAGTCCAGTTCATGTCCCTAAAAATGGAGGTCATTAAAGCCCAGACCTTCATCGTATCTCTGCAGAATCAACTTGACCTGTCCCAAAAGCTACAGGATCTTAAGATTAGTCATTAAATCCGAACTTTTGAACCACTTTTGCAGACATTGTCAAAAAAGGTGGCCAAACCCTCATCCGATCAAACAATCTTAGTACCCTAGCAATTTATCCGAGGGATACGTCCAAAACCAGTGATGACACGAAGTGCCTCTTATAAAAGATAATATCCCTAGAATAACTCAAACTACATGTCCGGGGCATGAGGAAGGTAAAAAACTAGAGAGTTATAATTAGCGTTGAGACAAAAGGAGATATCGACAAACTATAAAACTCCGTGAAGCTTGTATCTTCTGGCCTTACCATAGAAGAGCCGACTAAACGACGTCCAAAGATTTCAATTGTTGGTTTCTCTGTAGCCCTCACTGATAAAGAAGTGTTCGAGTGCATCTTCGAAGAAAATATTGCTGATAAATTTCCCAATGTCACGCGTGAGTCCTTCCTGGCAACAGTCAAACTGAGCCATAAATCAGGTTAGAAAAATCTTCCTACTTGCAATTACATTGTCGAAATACCACCTATCAAGAAGACCCTTAGAAATCAAGGACGAATATATATTAATTGGACCTCATGCCCAGTTAGAGACTTTACAACAGTAACGAGATGCTTCAACTGCCTACAATTTGGTCATTCAGCCAAATTTCGTCAGGAAAGTAGCCCTACGTGTAACTACTGTAGAGAGCTCGGACATTGTAACAAATCGCATGCCCCCGTTTGAGCGATAAGCAGACGTTTGTTTGCAACCGTTTGTATGAAAACGCTGCTACCAATCTCCTGATTTGATTCCCTCTGTCGCCTGTTACGACACCCACGGGACGATATAAAGTAGTTGATATTCTAACACCACCACTACACGGTACAACTCAGAGGCTAATTATTCGTCGTTAAATAAAATGAAGCCCAAAAATAATAATAATACATTTTTAAATAAGGGCTGTATAGAGCTTTCAATCGATTGATCAAATAAATGTTGTACTCCGATTTTCCATCTTTCATTTTCACCTCCCTTGAATATTTAAGCTCACGTCTGTAAGTCGAAAACTCAAATATTTAACCTCACGTCTGTACTTGGGTAACCGCATTTTAATGCTATGCTAAATTTTAATCAAACACGTACAAATACTTTCAGTAAAAACCCCTATAAAAGACAGACAGAAAGAAGTACATCAACGTGATTTCACAAGTATTCCATTTTGCTTAAAGTTGCCTTTACTTTTATTTCATTATCAAAAAAGTATTAGTACTTAAAGTACTGATACCGCAAACTGATCTTAAAAGTATATCACTAATAAACGTGAGTTTTTAATGTAACTTGGGCTCTTGGTGCTTTTGTATAGTACGTTAATAAACCAGCACTCAAAATTGCCATACAGAAGAGCGGCCACTGATAAATGGGTACATAAGTGAAGCTATTATTATAATAAGGCATTCTTTCATGTACAGAATTTTAAAATTCCTTGACCCTTTTCTATATAATCAAGTTAATAAAATTTTGTACATGAATCCATTAAAAGTAGTAGATTGTAAAAATATATTTCTATTCAAAACTTGTCACATAATGATCCGGAAAAGTTTCCGATTGTTCTAAGCTAATCTATGATTATGTATATAAATTAAGTTAACCTTAATTAGTTGATACGTTATTTATTGTATACATAAAAAATATTCTTTCCATTTTATGCGCTGCCATACCGTTCATCAGATTGTGATAAAACTTTGTCAACGTATTGCTTGCATATCCACAAGATTATAGACATAGTTTAAACCCGGTAGGTAGCGCTGTTGTATAATCCAGATATCACCCGTCCGAAGTCGGCTAGTTGTATATAAGAAACAGATAATATTTGATAGTGTATTTATTAGCACATACACCTGAGAGATGGTTTATCCCAATTCAGGTACCTATCAATAAAGACAGTATTTTTAGTCACCCTTGAGGACTAAGGTGGAATTCCCGGTGCACGCAATGTTGTTTAGTGACAGAAATAAGTAAGTGGATGGCAGCTACCCAAACCAACACCTAGGCCAAAAAGGAGTCTAAAGAAAGAATGACCTTTCCACCAAAACGTTTTATTACCTGGGTATATCGTCATCGCCGGAGTAGACCTCAAGAAGGAATCGTTGCGGCAGGCCACCGTCGAAGCCTGCCACGCAGGACACTTCCACTGAATCAGCTGTTTGATTCCATAGCGTACAATTGCGCGGTGCATGAGGTTTACCTAGATAACAGTTATTATTAAAATACTATAGAAAATTAAACTTGAAATATAGTTGGATAACAATTCATTCATTTATAAAAGCCATAAGTGGTGTGTTTGTCGAAGATAAGCTTTCCTCGTAGGTTGCCTCATAAGGGAAATATTTGCCATAGTTATCACGCTTGGTAGGGACGGGTGAACCACTGGGTGAAAAACTGTGGGAGCTTACTGCTTGTAAGTACCCACAGTTTCTGTTATTTTGAGTTGTCTGCTACATTTTTCTTTGTCGTTTCTTGCAACACTGGTAGGTTTTTGGGGTATTCAATTTTCTTATTCTGCTACTACTACTTATAATTACAATTAATGTTAATAATTACAACCTATACAAATGAATAAAATTGAAATATCATTTTATGTTGTCAAATTAACATTTTTTTATTAAACGCATATGAAAAACTACACGGTAACTTATGACAGAAATAAATTTAAAAAATTTGTCTATCTGTCCGTTTGTTCCGGCTAATCTCCGAAACAGCTAGGCAAATTTTGACGGGATGATGTTTTAAGGAGTAATTTAGGGTACTTTTATTTTAGAAAAAATAAATTATGGGTCCGCGTAAAAACAATTACTTCCATGAAATCCAATCCTAATAAATTCCACGCGGAGAAAGTCGCGGAGAGCAGCTAGTTAAAAACATTCACAATTAGTTACCATAACGCGATGAAGTACCAATTACTAGAATGATGCATGTACAATATCCTACATGAGGGTTATAAGTTGAAAATTTACTACATAGTTACTGACATGCGATGCGGCATTTTATTTGAATCATCATGGCGATAAACCATCAGTAAACTTACTTGTTTAAAGTTCGTTGCATGTTTCCATGGACTGCATTACAATCAGGTTGTCTTTGCTTTACACTATCATATTATTGTACTATCAAAACAAATATGCCATATAACATTGAACATTTTACAGTCTGTAATTATATTAGATCGACATAACCTACAAAGAGGCTTATTTTGTGTGCGCGCAGCTATACAGGTCTAGAAAGATCAGTATCACTGCGACCAATAAGATCTATGATCGCCGCTGTGGATAGAATTCACTGCTACAAACCGGGTTAATTGTGTAGAAAAATTATTACTATTTTAGTAACTAAACAAAATTAGTGTGAAAAAAAACCCCCAGCACGCAAACCGGGCGGCTGACCGGTAAGTCACTTAGCGGTTAGAGTCTAAGTAACTTAGCGGTCAGCCGCCGTAGAGTCTACATAACCTGTGGATGCCTCGTGTAGAGGCGAAACACTTGTCGTATTATCGTCGATGGTGTGTCTTACCTGAAATAGTGGTGTTGGGAGTAGTTGTGCTGGGACTAGTGGTGACGGAGTTGGTGCATGCAATTGAGAGAGGGCGGGAGGTGCTCTTCAATCCAGGTAAGACATATCATTGTATTTATTTAGCGGAAGGTTGCAAAGAAATTTATATTTTTATTTTTTATTATAAGGGATTTCCGCAAAGTAACGCCTGATTCTATCAATTAGTTAGTGTATGATATTTAAGTTCATAATATTCAACATCTAGACTTCGTGTATATTTATAGTTTCCATTGCAGCCAAAAATAGTCCACTGATGATATTTTGAATTATTATCAGGAATATTCTGCTCGCCATCTCCTATTTTATTTGCCTCTTTGACCTCTTACGTCACCCACGGTAGGATATGGGTTAGTGGATATTCTTACTACGCCACTACACAATTTTTACGTTTAACTTACGTTAATATTATTTTACTTATTAAATATAACTAATTTATGGATTTCATCGCGTAAAGTTTTAACTATTTTATTGGGAGACTGAGGTCTTTGGGACTGTAAAACACCTGAAACGTCCGGAATTAAAAAGTGTAAATTAAACTAGATAAAATCCGTAAACAATGTAGTATTCGCGTAAATATAAGAAATCAATGAGTTCACTAATATTTTCCTACATACTAAGCATTTACTATAAACAACAACTTGTACCTGCAGCAACCATTTGGAACACGCAGGGTGCGAGCTGTGTACCAACTTCATTTGACGCTGAGCACGAAAGTGTTCCATAGTCCAGATCAGCGACAGGCGTGTACCTGGTGATACATAGATTGTTAAAGTTATAAATAAGTAGTATAATAATAAGATTTAAAATAAAAAAGGCGTGTGAGTCTTGTAGTTAGGGATTATTTACTGTTGGAAGGTCTCCTTCATTTTGTGCCATTTATTTCTATCTTTTGCAGTACGTGTCCATAAGCTTCCCACTCTATATCCTCTATATCATTTCATTTTCAAAAAGATCGACCATAATCTCTCTTTTAAAATGTAAGACGCACTCGTTTCACCTACCGTCTCTGAATCTTATGACGTATCTGTTGTGATTTTTGAAATTAGTAAAGTCTAAAAGCTTCTTACGATTGGGAATAAGCCTACTTTCATTTTCAGTGTATTTCGCGACTTATGAAATTCGCGACAGTGATTTAGGACAAATAAACAGGATTCACGTGCCTTGAAGCAATTTCTTTAATTTCTCAGATATTCAATTCAAGTTGACAAAATACCACCATGTACCTCGATCGTGTAAATAAAGTTATATTTAACAAAAACGGTTGTGTCCGAACTTGAGATCATTTTTTTATAGGATTTGGGTGACAAACGAGCACACAGTCCACCCGATGGTAAGTGGATGCTGTGGCCCGTAGGCATCTGCATTTATTATTATTTATATGATTAAGAATTAAAATGCAGATGCGTTACCAGCCTTAAGGACTAAGATAAAATGCTTCGTTTCCAGTAAAAAATGCCTCCGGTTCTCTACACTCACCATCAGAAACATAGCATCATTGAACTGCTATATTACGCTGGTATTCTGTGATAGCGTGGTCCATCTCCGTTCGAGCCGACCCATTCGTACTACAGCCATGATACAGCTGCAGCATGGCAAATCTCATCATTCTCATCTTCATCTATCATGTCAAAATGCATAGAAATGAAGTTGAAACATCTGTATGTAATATTTAAATAAATGGAATATACTAAAGGGAGAAAGGGAAAGGAAAGGGGAAAAGAAATTGACTCTCTATTAAGACATAAATAACAATTTTAAAACTTTTTTCTCTCTATCTGTAATATTCGGAATGGTTAAACCGATTGTTCTACACAGGTGATGACAAACAGCTAGAGAAGAACAGGTGATGAAGAACACTGCCAGGACGGATTTAGGCAAAAAATTTAAACGTTTTTTTAATAAATACGTAAATTGATTACATATAATTATGGTCCTTGACTATCTTAAATCTAAATAACACTACATTAATAGATCATATCCTGGCGAATTCGAGGCGGATGACTCGTTATAATAAATAGCTATTACTCTGCACTATTCTGACTTAGTGTCGTAACACTATTTAAAATATTTTAACTGAATAGAATTTGACTGAATGTATATGCAATATAAATAGAATTTGCTGTCATTTCCAATTCAAGTACTCGTATAGCCGACTGTCTCGCAATAACGTGCACATATAGTTTTGTTTAAAACAACCATCACAGACCTAAGAGCGGATTGTACTTCAATACGAAATCAGAACCAATTTTAAACTTTGTTTTGCATAGATACTAGAATTTCCTTTTTTATCAACAGTCCACTGACAAATAAGGGCTCTTCTAACACAGATAAAGGATTTTTATAAATAACTAGCTGATCTCGGCGCGTTGCTGCCGCAGAAGAAATAATTGTGGAAGTATCGTTTCAAATTTAGAAGAGTTATATTGTTTAATAATGAAAGATAATACATTCATTGTAATTGGACGATATATAATTTTCAAAAAAATTTATCGGTACGATATGCACGCCACGTGCTGTAAGTTAACTGTATTATGCCTATAACCTTCGCGCAAGTACAAGCCTTAAGTTGACAAAGTTTAACCGCAATTTGGTGAACAGTATGGCAACGCATAAAATACGAACAAACAAACGTTAATGAACGTTAGATAGCAAACTTCAATGACCTAAAGTATTTGGTTGGTTATTTTCTAAATGGCCATTTTACTTTACATGTAGTGAAATTTATTGAATTCGATACAGTAACATGTTTAGTATGATTTGCAAGCAGAAAGGAACAATTTAATAAAATTGGCATTCGAAAATAATTGTAAGGATTACGTAGCACTCTAGAATCTAAACCCATAAATAGAAACAAAAATACTTCATTGCCAATAATTTACATTTCCAACAAATTTGAATAGGTTATTTCACGAAACGAAAGCTTCTTAATATAATGTTTTTTCCCCGCAACACTCGTTACGCGTCTATATACATTCCAAATCCCAAATTCAAAGGAACGTATTCAGTATCAAACTCGTACGTACAAGGTTGTCTCATTTTCCCAATTTATAACTTATTGTACATATATTTTAAATTGTGGGTGGTTTGAATTACGAACTTACTTTTATTTCGTTTCAAGTACGAAGCTTAACGTAACTGACGAAATAAAATTTCCTTTCCCATTTCCAATCACTTCGAAGCACAAAATTACTTAGTTGATATGATTAAAATAAAATTTTCATATCTATATGTATATATGTGTTATTAACTTAAATTTATTTGCGCAAATGTTATGCATATTTTGGTTTGTATTGTAGGTACATCTAATAACAGATATAGAATTACTCGTAGTTGCCACGTTTTTTAGATTAGGTGCAAAATGATTTCATAATAAAAGCTAATGGTGCGTTGCAAGATGTTTATCTGCGTAATAAAAATGGTGACTAGCGGAAGGACGGTACATATTTTTATAACACATAAAACAAGCTACATTCTGATCATTTTTTGACTAATATGATTTTAATTGTGTAACGAATAGTCATAGTCTAAAGGCGTCTCTTAAGTAATCTCATAGTTTTGTTAGTTGCCGAATAGTTTCGCTAATATGTTACAATTTTTGTGTTGCGTTTTGCCATCTAGAACTTCATCACTACTTGTGCTCTTTAGTTCAAATATATTAATTAAACATAATTTTTTTGCAGTTTTGATAATATGAGTAAATAAGGCTTTAACATTTATTTAAAATTATTTCAAATTGAATGTGAATTACGGGCAACTACGTTTTGCCCACCGATCGACCCTTACAAATGTACGCGTGCGCACATTGAAAACATTTTGTAACTTACAATACAACTTTAACGCACAATGAGATCCATCATAATCAGTGATCTGCTTAGCTACTATAGTCAACCAAATCTAAGAAATACCTTTTGACGTTTCACATTAATCATTAAGCAATAACTTTGCACAAACGTACTCACACGATTTAAAATAACATTTTACGTAAATCCGAAGAATTATGAAATTTTCTATATTTCATTACACCGTGTATAGTTTTTTATCACTTATTTAAAGGGGGACGCCCATTTTCGGCCATGGAACGCCCAACAGTGTGCATTTGTTAAAAAAATTATATCTTTATTTATGGTTATTAATCGCGGTATTCATTTATCCTCAAACAATGGGAATATTTTCGCACAAATTAAAAGTACCGAAAAGATAATAATAAAAATTAGGTAGATCATTATGTCATTAGTTTTTGAATTAAAAATAAGTGTTGCCAATCACAAAACACATTTAAAAAATCGATTCTCTTTTTCGATCGATTATTTACGGTGTCATCATTACAGTACTAATATAATTTTTAAATAATTATTATGTTATGATAATTAAACAAGCGAATTACTAGTTGATTTCCAATGAATTCTTTAGAGAGTAACAAAACGCTACGGCACAATTTTACTGTTAATCTTAACCGATCTTCTTTGAAAACAGATAAGAACTGTTATTCTTATCTGTTTTCAAAGAAGATCTGTTAAGTTATTCTTATCTGTTTATAACAATACATTTAAAATAGAATCATGTTGATATATGATTGTGATAACGAAACAAGTTAGTTTCCAGCTGATTTACCATGAATCCTTTAACCTTTTGAGCGCCAAAGTCGCCTATACTTGACCAACACCTGCGGGCCCTGAGCGCCAACGACGTCTATAGTTGATAAAAAACCCGGCTCTCAAAAAATGAAATATAGATATTGGAAAATTATTACAGGTATTTTAATTCTACACTCCTCAAAATAGGAATAACCCAGCAACATGTGAGTATAAAAAACAAGTCTTCTAGAGCCACAAGTACTAAGAAACATTGAACTAATAAAAATTGATTTTTATCTAAGTCCAGCACGCCAAAGTCGTCTATGGTTGACCGCTAATGTCAAACGCGGGAAGCATGATTTCTTGAAAACTATCCAAAATTCAGCTCAATGGTGTTTGTTTTCTATTATTATTATTGATATTTGAATAAAATTAAAGGTTAGAAACATAAAACTATAATTAGCTACATGAATAAAAAAATGTTATCAGATCATCTTCGCATAATAAATCTAATATCTCAACTCTAGCGCATCTTTAGCGCGTTATCGAAAATCAGTTCACTGGGCACCGTGATCAAGGATAAACGACACCCTGATGATGTCATAAGTGATTACCGAGAAAAGTAGAGCAATTTTTCATTTTGTGTTGTGCCATTTTCTTTCTCAGTCTCAAAATCATCTAGCAGTATCAGCATCATATCAAATCCCCATTGTCATAAGAGTGTAAGACTTTTCTTCTGTGCTTCACTTGGTCTACGCCTTCCCCGACACATAAAATATTATGAATCGATGTCTGTATATTTCGGTTAGATCGATTTAGAAATCGATACACAACATTCTAAGAATGTTTAAAAAAGGAAGGTCAGCTACGCCGTTGTCGTCCAGTCGTGACAGTGTCGTCATTAGGATGGAGAGTAGTGCTGTGGTTTACTACTATTTTATTGTTATTGTTTGTTTTTTATTTATGTTTATATGTACAAAGTACATATTCAAAAAGAGTGGTGGACAGCACAAGATTAAATAAAACATACAGTTTATAAAGAGTCATTTATAGCATAAAAAACCAACAAAAGCAAGTTATTTTACGTTATCGATATATCAACTCTTGGCAACACTATTTTGTTTTGGCGCTTTGGCGTACAGGACACGGTAATGCGTTTTTGGCGTGGCGCTCA